AGCCTGGCTGCCCGGGGAGGGGACGGGGCCTCTCGGTCGGGGCCAGGGATGCCTGGTGCGAGCGGAAGGCCGCACGCCGCCACGTAGCGGGTACAGGTTGGTTATAGGCCCCACGTCGTGGTTTGGGTTTGCGCTTCGTTTGCGGTGTTTTATGCCATAATGCAATCGTAAAGAAGGGGTAGCTTGGGATGGCGGGAGCCGTGCCATGGCGGGGTTATCGGAAATCACGCGTGAACCGGGTTTTTTTCGTGCAAATAAAATGAGCTCCGTTCTTCTGATGGTGACTTGGGTGGTGGCTTGATGGAGCTCACTTACGTCTGCTAATGGCTGCAGGTGTGTGAGACCTCAAAGGGTTTTAGAGGTACTGAAACCACATTAAAAATAAAGATCACACCAGTTACATATGTCTTTATAGGTTAATATTTACAACTTGGTTCAGTTGTTAACCATCGATTTTGGTAGTATCTGACATACACATCTGAAAAATTCTCAGCTGAGGAGCTCAACACTTAACAACATAGAAAAAGGAAAAAAATTGCTGGGAATGGTGACTGCCGTGTGTCCTGTTGGAGGCAGCCACATGTAAGCCATGTTACCAGCTGTGCCAGTGGTGTAAAGAAGCTTGAGAGCATCCTGCGTGTCGATGGTGTTCATGCAGTGTCTCTGTTGGAAGCTGTTCAAATCTGGGGTCATATTTGGTGCACTTTTTTTCTCATTGACCTCTCGATTCAGCAGGTAGACAAACATGGGTGCCTACAAGTACATCCAGGAGCTATGGAGGAAAAAGCAGTCGGATGTGATGCGATTCCTCCTCCGTGTCCGCTGTTGGCAGTATCGCCAGCTGTCGGCCTTGCACCGAGCTCCCCGGCCCACCAGACCAGACAAAGCTCGCAGGCTGGGATACAAGGCCAAGCAAGGTAATGAGGCGTAGCGGTGAAGTCCATGTGCTTCGTGATGGAGTGACCAAGTTTTATGTCACCTTCCTTAAGTGATAGCAGAATAACAAAACCTACATATTCCCCAAAAACCTCAAGTGTCCTGTGTGAAATGAACTTAATATTACATATGTGTTGAATTGGGAGCAGTGCCCACAGCCCAAAACTGTACTCTGCAATTTTGAATTCACGCCTTCTGTGGCCATTTTGGCAGGTGGAGATCAAGTGGGCTTCGGCTTTAATTCTTGCTCCTGTGCTGTGTTACTGCTGCAGAGTTGACCAGTGCTTTTGGTGTCCTAGGTTTGGGGGGTGTCCCTTTTCTGCCCAGATTTTATCATGTGTTATTTTGACTGTATTATAGCTGTATGCACCTGAGTAAGCGAGATGACGTCATTTGTGCTGTCATTAGAAAGCAGTTACTGGTCAGTGAAAGAAACTTGGGGAAAGCAGCTGGGTCTGCAACTTGAGCAAGTCCTTGAAACAATGTGTTTGTTCACTATGAAAATGCAAATTCTGTCACTGCTGGTGAAGTTTGTCTAGTTTCCTCGTTTTTCAGAGATCGGATTTCAGCAGGGCTTCAGTGCTTTACAAATGCTACTATCAGAATATGGGGTTCTAGTTTTGGGGCGGCAGTTCTGTTAAGTGTTTCAGGGTGGGAGAGTTTTTTGTGTTACAACATAGCTGTAGCTGTTCTTAGTGTGTTTGGAACTGCACAGTGGAAAGGTGGCATAACCTCTGGTTTGGAAGTAAAAAAAAGTCGTGATAGGATATCGCTTCCCTCAGTAGTAATGGAAGTAACAAAACCATCTTGTGCTGGTTGCCTCCAGTTGTAGGTTTTGGTGAAGATTGGTATAGCGACCTAATTTTCATGTGAAGCTTTTGGGGTGGGAAATGCAGTGTGGGCATCAAAATTGCCTTGCTGTGATTTGCACTTGCTACACTACAGAATTCTTCTAGTTCCTAAGTCACCATTTCTTTTTAGGTTACGTTATCTACCGTGTCCGTGTTCGCCGTGGTGGTCGTAAACGCCCAGTCCCAAAAGGTGCAACCTATGGTAAACCTGTGCATCATGGTGTTAACCAGCTGAAGTTTGCCCGGAGTCTTCAGTCTGTAGCAGAGGTGACTATTTTGGTTGTTGCTCAGAAACTTGGCGGTAGGAAGGTTTTACTTAGTCTGTAAAAGTTGGGAATACTCGGGGACAAAACCAACCCAAACAGCTGTTTTGTTAATGTGTTGAATAAAAGATCTTGAATACCAATGGCAGGAAAGCACCAGATTTTCTTGAAAACCTGTGTTGAGACATGAAAAAACTATTCAGACTTTACAAATGGGGGAAGTACTGCTTAGGTGGTTTATTGATGTTCCTAGTGCATACTTATTTCTAAAGTATGCCATAATATTTGTAATGAAAAACAGACATACAGCTAGTATAAACCCCAGTAAAATAAAGGGGTAGGCATGAGAAATAAAAATTGAAATATGCTAAGGTGTCTGACTTCACTCATCACTAAATCCCACCTGTGTGTTCTGTGACATGTTGTATGTATTACCAGCTGGAGGTCATGATCCTTTCACAAAGTGCAGATGCGTTCCCCTTCCTAAAGTCTGTAGCAGCTGTTTGTGTAGTAGGAGTGCCGCGCAGTGTACTTAGCTGTATTGTAGGATCCGAAAGCAGCATGCCAGAGACCTTCTGGTTCTTTATAAAATACCTGGTACCTCGCAGCCACAGAGATTGGTGGTTAACTTGGTTTTAGGTCAGATGTTACCCACTGAAATATTCAAAATGGAAACTGATTTGATGAGATTTTTAGTTTCATGATGTCACAGTAGTAATGAAGAGATGTAGTTCCTGCCTTTAGAAAAAAACCTTTTCAGTGGCTTAAAATTAATATTAGTCTGCACTCTCAAAAAAAGAGACATTGTGAAAGAATGGAGATGGCTCATTGCCTTCCATCTTGAAGCAGAAGAGGTCTGATCCCAGGACTTAATAAGTGACTTCAGCAAGTTGAATATGGTGGATTTTGGGGGTGGGGGGGAACAGGGACAGGGCGTAAATGGGATTTACTAATTTAGAAGAAATACAGATGATGAGTTTAAATTAAAAATGCAATTCTGTGTTTTCAGTGCTCATGGCATGCTCTTTATATATGCTATTACCAGGTACCTGGTGGCTGACCACATGCTCACTTGTGGTGACAGCACATGGAAGAGGTTATTGCCCCTCAGTTTCAGTTGGAAATGTTCTGAATCTGACACTCTCTTTCCGGGAAGAAAACACCTGGTTGGTGTTTTAACATTTAATACATGTGTTGCTCTCGCATGCTAAAATAAAACAAGGACTTGAACGAATTTTGTTACGTATGCAGAAAACAGTGAAGTGCTGTTTAATGGAAGACTGGAG